TTTATCCATACCCACAAGCAACATGGGATAATGAATAGGGGATTTGAATGGATTATAGATCATGAATGGATAATGAATGGATATGAATGGAGATATCACCGCTCAACATGGATCAAAGTGGTTGTTTGATGGTTTGACGCTCGAAGAAATTCATTGATGATCTGCACAGGTCAGATCTTGGAGCGCCCCCAAAAAGTGGCCCACATCACAGCCCAGCAAGGTCACTTATGACATAGCCTCTGGTTCTTTAACGTAGTGAACTGGAACAAACACCCGTAAATCATCGGGTTTTTCATTCTTTCTGATTTTTTCTATGGATTATGACCAGTTTGCCAGTCTGGATTAAATAGCATTAGATAAGCCCGGGACATCCTGGATGTCTATTACAACTAATCGTGCAACTGCGGAAACTCAGGCCGGGGATCAAGTTGCCCATGACCCTGAGCTTTGACTATCCATCCGTGCAGGTGGGGGAACTGTCCAGCAGGTTACCCTCTGGTAAACGTTTACAAAAAACTATGGAAAGATCCACCGTTTTCAATGGGAAAATCCACTATAAATGGCCATTTTCAATAGCTATGTTAAATTACCAGAGGGTAGGAATTCCTGAATTTGAAGGTGAAAGTGATTCACATGTTGCGTTGTCATGTTTCGAGGGGGAGTACATATGTTGAAAACCACAGCTTTTCATGGCTCTGCACATGATACTTGAGCAATACCAAGTCCAGGTCCATCTTGGATTCTTGGTTTGATAGAGATCCTCGGCATATCCCAACTGGTTTCATATGGTTTCGCCCGACATGCCTAAGATGCTGACTAGTTCAGTTAGTTCACCATAGTTCACCCCCATTTATCAATGGGATAATCCCACTGTTTGGGGGACGGGATGATCTTCCAAGAAAAAAGCCCAACTGAGGCGAAGGCTTTTAACCGCACAAATCTCCCACGGAGTTGAGATGGTCAAATTATGCCAGTTCTAAAACTCGGATACTTATATCTACATATACAGGATGTATGTTTATACATATATCATATATATATATACATGGGATAATGATATCCCTGGTAATATACGGGCCATTCACAGTTCTTGACCACTGGGTCCAGTGCCATGTGGCGGAGGCGATCGCAGATTTCGTGATGGATCAAAGCAAGATGATTGCAGGATGATTTCGTTTTGAATCTGGCTACTGGTAAATTAACATAACTATGGAAATCCATGGAAAAACAAGGAAAAACCAGCCTTTTTAATGGGTCAATTAACGATGGCCATTGCTGCCATAGCTACGAGAAGCATGTTTACCAGCCTGACTAGGTGGTTGATGCAACGGCATGCAGCGGCCATAAATGAGGGACATACACCCGGTACATAGGTTACCCTCTGGTAAACATAGAATAAGTTATGGAAATTAAAGCTTGCTTCCTTGGAAATGATCTACGATCATGGTGGATTTCCATATACTAGTTTCAGGAAGGATAACAGTTCCTTAATGCAACTTACACAAGCGTAGCTGCTAAATATGGGAGTCTAGACCCTCCAAGTACCTCGAAAAATGTGTGTCATATACCCACGATTTTGGAACTTTCACCTATTCTTTATGGCTACTTGCAGGGCCCTGTGGAGCGTTCACAAGAGCTACTGGCGGTTAATGGGTGGGAATTTGACTTGATACAAAAAAACAAGGTACCTTCAACAACGACCCATAAATGACTGGTTAATATGGGGAAACCATAAAAATACGCTTAAATCCACGTCATTTTGAGATTTATTGTAAAATATCCAGATGCAGATTCTTTTTTTCCGTATAGTTTCAAGTATCAATAGAAAAGGATTCTTGAACATGGCAACTTCCTGCTTGGGATGTCAGGATGTTTCGATGCGTTGGGAAGTTACTGTAGGATGGGTAACTATTTGACCATGACTTATTGGTAAGGAAAAGCGTCCTGCTTCACTGGCTTTTTTATGCTTGGGAATCATTGTAATTCTCAACTGGGTGCTCCTGCGGATTCAGCATCGCAAAGGAATCACTTCAGTCTTTCGCAGAGCTCCGGTTCCACAAAAGTGCACCACAAAGAGCAAAGCTCTCCGTGCAGGCAAAGAGCGCTGGCCAGTTCCTGCTGTGGCTCTGTTGTTGTTTCTTTTCTCTTCGCAGCTCCACATCAGCCGTTTGTATGTTTTTTTTTCGGGTTCGTAATCACAGCTTTTCAATGTCATAATCCACGACTCGACGAGCAGCAGTTGAATGGCCAATGCCTGGTGCAGCTCTCAGTTAGCTCTTCCAACTGGACATTCCTTTGAGGAAAAGGTCGGCCAATGTGAGGATATGTCAGGTATGGTTCGATGATGGTCCAAGTTGGAGTGCCATGCATTTAAAGATGGTTTCGGTTGAGGCACATGAAAGTTTAAAGTGACCCAAATCTGCCAAATCTGGAGTCTGGAGGTCTTGAGTTCTTTTTTAGCAGATACCAACTTACACGTTTCTGTTTCTTGTATTCTGGAGTATAAATAAACCCAATGAACTATAGGGATATATTCTACCATAAACCGTAGAATTCAGCCAGCTATCTATTGTTTCAAGGTGGTCCCCCACCCATTTATGTTTCTTGGTTTATGACCCCATTATCTAGTTCGTTATATCCCCCTAATCAACCCAACACTTAGTCAAGTGAACTAAGTCAACTGAGCGCTATCTTGGGGCCCCCGAATTGTTGAGATGGTGACCAGTGACTCGCAGTTTTGGCCCTGCTCCCTTCGTGCTCCCCTCGTGCTTCCTGTGTGCTGACAATGCAGCTGCAACGGTGGGGATGCCCAGGATATTGGCTACATGGAAATGGACGGAAGAATAAGTCTCAAGCCCATTGGTACCTGAAAGATCGTGGAAGTGCAAATAACTTGAGATTCATGAGTATATATGTTATGCAGTAAAGCATTAAAATATATCAATCTGATTCAAAACGCAGGGGAAACATGCCCTGAATCTTGCCCTTGAGGAGTATGGTCATTTTGTTCAGGAAAAACAGGAACGGGAGGTGTGGTACCCCTAGATCCACTGGTTGATCGTACTGTTGCCTAGTCAAACATCATTTGGGGTATACCCCCTTTTTAGACAAAACCGTATGACCATTCAAACTCTCTCTCTCTCTTTTCTGTAATATATATATATATATTATATATTTATAATTTTACATGTATATAATTATATATATATAATACAGATCTCTCTCTCTCTCTCTCTCTTTCTCTCTCTGTCTCTCTCCTTTTTCCCGAGAGCGTTTGAGCGCAGGGTTCTTCCAATAGTGGGAGTCTGTAAAACATCTTCTCATCTTCACATCTTCTCATCTTCACATCTTCTCATCTTCACATCTTCTTATCCTCACATCTTCTCCTCACCCCTCATCTTCTCATCTTCACATCTTATCATCTTCACATCTTCTCATCTTCACATCTTCTCATCTTCACATCTTCTCATCTTCACATCTTCTCACATCTTCTCATCTTCACATCTTCTCACATCTTCTCACATCTTCTCACATCTTCTCACATCTTCTCACATCTTCTCACATTTTCTCACATCTTCTCACATCTTCTCACATCTTCTCACATCTTCTCACATCTTCTCACATCTTCTCACATCTTCTCACATCTTCTCACATCTTCTCACATCTTCTCACACCTCCACTCACATCTTCTCACATCTTCTCACATCTTCTCACATCTTCTCACATCTTCTCACATCTTCTCACATCTTCTCACATCTTCTCACATCTTCTCATCTTCACATCTTCTCATCTCACATCTTTTCCTCTTGCCCTCTTGCCCTCTTGCCCTCTCCTTCTTTTCTATTTCTCTTTTGAAGGCGGGAGCAGGGGCAGTGCCAACGAGACGGCACGAAACGCAACCCTTTCGCACGAAATGAGGGTCGATCGTCAAAAACTGAGGAAAAATTGCGATTTTACTTGTCCCGAGCAACCCTTTCGCACGAAATGAGGGTCGATCGTCAAAAACTGAGGAAAAATTGCGATTTTACTTGTGCCGGAGCAACCCTTTCGCACGAAATGAGGGTCGATCGTCAAAAACTGAGGTAAAATTGCGATTTACTTGTGCCGGGCAACCCTTTCGCACGAAATGAGGGTCGATCGTCAAAAACTGAGGTAAAATTGCGATTTTACTTGTGCCGGGCAACCCTTTCGCACGAAATGAGGGTCGATCGGCAAAAACTGAGGTAAAATTGCGATTTTACTTGTCCCGGAGCAACCCTTTCGCACGAAATGAAGGTCGATCGGAAAAACTGAGGGAAAATTGCGATTTACTTGTCCCGGAGCAACCCTTTCGCGCGAAATGAGGGTCGATCGGCAAAAACTGAGGTAAAATTGCGAATGTGCGACGTCTGTGTGTAAAAGCGTCTGTGTGTAAAAAGCGTCTGTGTGTAAAAGCGTCTGTGTGTAAAAGCGTCTGTGTGTAAAAGTTGTGTGTAAAAGCGCCTGTGTGTAAAAGTCTCTGTGTGCAAAAGCATCTGTGTGTAAAAGCGTCTGTGTGTAAAAGAGTCTGTATGTAAAAGGGTCTGTGTGTAAAGCGTCTGTGTGTAAAAGGGTCTGTGTGTAAAGCGTCTGTGTGTAAAAGTGTTTGTGTGTAAAAGCTTCTGCGTGTAAAAGCGTCTGCGTGTAAAAGCGTCTGTGTGTAAAAGCGTCTGTGTGTAAAAGCGTCTGAATGTAAAAGCGTCTGTGTGTAAAAGCGTCTGTGTGTAAAAGCGTCTGTGTGTAAAAGGGTCTGTGTGTAAATGTGTTTGTGTGTCAAAGCGTCTGTGTGTAAAAAGCGTCTGTGTGTAAAAAGCGTCTGTGTGTAAAAGCGTCTGTGTGTAAAAGCGTCTGTGTGTAAAAGTGTTTGTGTAAAAGTGTTTGTGTGTAAAAGCGTCTGTGTGTAAAAGCTTCTGTGTGTAAAAGCGTCTGTGTGTGTAAAAGTCTCTGTGTGTAAACGCGTCTGTGTGTAAAAGGGTCTGTGTGTAAAAGCGTCTGTGTGTAAAAGTGTCTGTGTGTAAAAGCGTCTGTGTGTAAAAGCTTCTGTGTATAAAAGCGTCTGTGTGTGTAAAAGTCTCTGTGTGTAAAAGCGTCTGTGTGAAAGCCTCTGTGTGTAAAAGCGTCTGTGTGTCAAAGCGTCTGTCTGTAACAGTCTCTGCGTGTGAAAGTGTTTGTGTAAAAGCGTGTGTGTAAAAGCGTCTGTGTGTAAAAGCTTCTGTGTGTAAAAGCCCCTGTGTGTAAAAAGCGTCTGTGTGTAAAAGCGTCGGTGTGTAAAAGCGTCTGTGTGTAAAAGTGTCTGTGTGTAAAAGCGTCTGTGTGTAAAAGCGTCTGTGTGTAAAAGCGTCTGTGTGTAAAAGGGTCTGTGTGTAAAAGCGTCTGTGTGTAAAAGCTTCTGTGTGTAAAAGCGCCTGCGTGTAAAAAGCGTCTGTGTGTAAAAGCGTTTGTGTGTAAAAGCGTCTGTGTGTAAAAGAGCCTGTGTGTAAAAAGCGTGTCTCCATAGTAACAACAGAAGACTCTGCTCCTCTACGCTCTCGGGCCGTCCGTCGTCTAGTTTGTTATGGATGATCCCCAGTGTTCCATGAATTCACCTTTCAAGCCAGGGGATGGACCATGACAGCCATGGATTCCCATCCTTTCCGGCGCCGAGGCTTCTTCCATTGCTATTGATTTCCATCTTATGGCAGGCTGGGTGCGGTCCTTTAGGATGTGGACCTCAGGTTTATGTTTAGCGTGAGGCTATATCTAGAACTGTAGCTACTGCTAATGGAAATTCCAGTGTGGAAGATGTCTTTTTTGGACATGGCCGTTCTTGATATTCCACGTTAGATTTTTGGATGAGTGGCTGGGTAGTTCTCCTGATATTGATCACATGACTGCCTGGTCTGCAGATATGGACTGGATGATTTCTTCAGACCAGGCGAGGTGCCAAGACGATGATGACGAGGAAGTGGACTTTGAAGAACTAGAGGTGCTCGACTCAGGGGCCCCAGGGGTCACCCTGGTGGGTTGAAATGTTGCATTTTTTTGCCAAAGGTGAAAGGGGGGGGGCGCTCCAAATGCTCCAACGTCGCACAGGAGTCTGACGTGGGCAATGAACGGGATGTTGACATGGACCGGGATTGTGGAGGGGTGGAGCCAACTGATTGATGCGGGTTGTTTGTGGAAGGGTAAGCCGGGTAAGCCGTCTGGCGAACGGTGGGTCAAAGTTGTTTCTTGTTTTAACAATGGCTGGCTGGAGGGAGAAATGTATTATTTTCATGCATCTAACATTCATTTACTTGATTGATTATTCATAATGATAGGGGCGTCTCATTATTTTTGAAAATGTTTGCGTCTATTTTTGTGATTTTGGATATTTTGGTTTGGCGTGCACCATCGGTTGCGGCCCGCGTTGATGTTTTCTGAGAGCTGCTGTTCTGCAGATTTCTGCAGGATCTGCCAACAGCGCAGGCAACTCATCCGCTTTTTCAGGTGCAGAAACTGTGTGCAGGGCACCACTTGAGGGTGATATGATAGAGATGTGCGAGCTGTAATATTTAGTAATTAATATGATTTAATATGGTGGTAAACACAAATAAATGTTCAAAAGACCTTGAGTTGAATTTGGACTCAATCGCAATGGTGATTTATTGATTTTATTGGCGCATAAAAGTAGATTTTTGCCACCCAGAATAGGAGTGATGCGGATTCGAGGAGTACATGCTAACACCTTGACGATGGGGGTAGATCTGGAATAATCTGAAGGTATTGCCAAATGCTAAGATGGTGTAATGTGGTTCCACATATATATATATATATATATGTACACAGTATATATATATATACACAATATATATATATATATTTACAATATATATATATAATATATATATATAAATATGTAATTGTTCCCTGTTCAGGAATTGAACCTTCACCATGTGCTGGCTGAGCTTGCACGTTTGCGAATTTCACCCGACCATTTTTTTTCGCCGTCTAAAATCAGTACTTCAACGTGCGTCCAGGATGTGATAGATGATGTTTCCTCCGTAATTTCGAGGTTTCCATGTGTTCTTTAGTTTTAGGGTTTGGCATAAATAAACAAACAATGCATTTTGGACGCCCATACCTCTGCACTGAAGCAGATTTCAGGGTGAATGAGCAATGGCATGCAATGGCCAAAACCCTGGCTTGATGATTCTCTTCAACAAGGCTTAATTATCATTGAATTATCCATAATAAGTATCCTTTTAAATCCAAAACTACGCTTTGTATCGCAGGGATTCTCAACATCTCCCAACAACATATCCATATCAATATTATCAGCAAGCAATTATCCATCTATGATATTATATATATATACATGGATATCATTTGAATCCATTATGGCAATTAAAAACAGATGTGTTGCTAATACTTGAACAATGATTATCGATTCAATTCAATATATCAATTTAAACATCATATGGGCGGGTTTGTCTTAAATGCTACTGTTTCATGGATATGTATATATATATATATGTTTATATATATATATATACATATGTATATATATATATATATATACATATGTATATACATATATATACATATATATATATATATATACATATATATATACATATATTAATATATTATACACATCAAAACAAATTGGACCATTGGGGTATACCCCATTTAAAGACCCATCTCCTGGACGGCGCCAGGATTGCTTGAGCCATGCCGAGGCGGTCGAAACGGAGCATGGCCTCTACGATGACTCAAAGGTGCTGATACTCGTACCTGGCTGGCTGGTGGTTTGGAACTTTTTTTCCCATATTATATGGGAATAATCCTTCCCATTGACTAATATTTTTCAAGATGGTTGAAAACAACAAACAGCTGGTCATTGTAAATAATTATTATCTTTAGTATCAGTAGTAATTATCAGTATTTTTAGTAGTACCCATAGTATGATCATTAGTATAATCATCATATCATGATGAAGGGTACGGTTGCCTTATTTGGACGGCCATCTTGGATTTGCTGAAGATGTGTTGTGTCATTTTCCCAATGGTAAATTCACCCTTTGGGGAATCTACTAGGAAGGTGTTTTTTCTATTTTTTAGTGGTCCCTTTAAGCAGGTGAAGATCCACCATAAAATTTAATTATGGATGATTTTCCGACTAACACCCTCATTTAGTTTGCGTATGCAACATGGCAACATATCTCCCAGTTTTTTTGCGTCAGGGAGGTGCAGAGGCGCGGAAAAAGCAAGCGGCTGCGCTGCTCGAAAAGACCAAGGGATTGGTAAAGCGCCTCGGTCTGACAGCAGTTGCAGCCAAACATTTAGATGTTTTCCCCATGAACAAATGCTGACTTTACAGTGCTTCAATGGTGTTAAATGATGATTTAATTTGGTAGAGGTTTGGGAGATGGGAGCAGATATGCCAACATGAATGGGATATTTAGGCAGTTTCCACCAATTGGCAATTTAGTGGGAACATCCGTAATATATGGGTTATTAATGAGATATATGGGTGGGGGAAATGTTGATCAGACATAGCTGCTCAGAAGACTCTGTAGAAATGCTGATCAGATATAAATCATCAATTTGACCATATATTGAAACCATCATAAATTGGTGCATCATAATTTTCATGCACGCACACACAAGGAAAACATACGGTCTTTTGATGCATTTTGAACAGCTGGCCAGGAAAGAATCGCCCAACTTTGAAGAACAGTTTGTACAGAAGCTCCAGGACAGAAGTGGTTTATGGCCTATCAACGCTGGACCACGGAAAGAGCCATACAACTGCAGCAATTTATCAATAACAACCCTGCAAATCATACTTAAAATACTTCCTCAGAAGGCTTCCTCAGCAGGTACTTGGACCCATAATATTTTTTTTCTAGGTTCAAACCACAACAGCCATTGATCTCGGTGGAAACTCGTGAAGAACGGCCAGGATATCCATGAGAAAGGAGGAGGATTTGGTGCACCAGACCCTTGGACGAATTATGACGAATTATGACGAATTATGACGAATTGCCGTGTCCATGTGAAACCAAAAAAGGAAAGGAGAGTTCGACACAACCGAATCTTTGGGATGTAGGCTAGTCAGTACTTATTTTTATAGCGTATATAGTATATATATATATATATGAGTGGCAACGTTTCCAGCAGATATCACGCCTACAGTGCGGGTTGGTGTCCCATTTGGCATAATTAGATATTAGTAAGTAAAAGAATGCCAACACAAGAATTCCAGGAAAGGAGACTTGAGAGATGGCTCAAAGCTAGTGACACTTAAGACTGATCAAGAGCCCTAAACATGTATTGAGAATGCAGGTTTGAAGAGCTTCTACAATATATTTGTGGGCGTCCCTCGCGCACCGAGGACAATGAAAGATATTGGATCAGAAACAGATTGAAACCATCAAGGATAAGTCGATTTCCCTGAGCCAAATTTGGATGGTAAAACGGCAAAGCGCATCCTTTTGTGGTTTTTCCTAACGGTTTCCTACAGATGTTCCATGATGTTCCCCTCAAATCAACCAAGATGGCCCTGGGGCACTCAGGATGCATGTGACTTCCTCCTCCAACATTTTGAGCTTTGACGCTGATGGCCCAACAATGGCTCCCGTGGCGCACGTGGCTGGACTCGCGGAGAATGCGCCGCATGGGTGCCATGGAAAACGGGCATGGCTTAGGGAAATGAACAGCTGGCGTCTTTGTCCTGGTTTGACTGGCAACTCAAACATGAGTGCTTGAAAATGTGCCATCAGTTTTTTTTGTAGGAATAGTGATGATCAACGAGAGAATTTTTGGATGTTTCCGCCGAAGCAACGCCAAAGACTCCTTGCGTTTAGGATCTCTCACGTCTCACCTGAACAACGGAAATGCCGCAGTTGATGCGACGAGATGCGACGAGATGCGACGAGATTCCGCGCTTTGTTAAAAAAATGTGTAAGTGATAGAGTGGGCCCGGGAGATGAAGGGTATGGATATAGATACAAATGAGCAGTGTTCAAAACCTTATTGATTGATGATTATAGGGAGTTACTACAGTTACTAACCATAGATTGGGGATGATCAAAAGGAATCCTGATGCATGGATTACAGAACATGGTATGATTATGAGAGAATTGTGGGATAATTACAATTACAAGCATCCTCAATTTGTGGTGTACTAGCGGATGAAGATCCGAAGACAGTTTCGTAGACTGTTCCGTTGATCTTTCAGATATTCAGGTATAAGGTCAATAAGGTGGTAGGTACGGATTCAACCAAAGCGATCACGTATACTGTCAAAGGCACCTCAAATTAAAGCATCAGGTGAGTTGTTTGCTTTTCCCACCCTGGTCTGAGACATTACCAACCTATAGAGTCTAGACTTTTCTGCTGTGTGAAATATCCTTTGCTTCTGGAGGATGTTTCTGGTGAATCATCGTATATCATCGTATTGTTGAATGCTATTTTTAAATTTCTAGCAGGCTTTGCTTTGGATAGGATTTCAACAAATTGGTACAATAACTCCAAAGTAGGTGATGGACACCAAGCATGCCCAGATTTGGTCATGTTTGGAGCCGCACTTGAGGGTTTTAGCAGAGCTTCAGCCATTCGACAAATCATGGTTAGTAAGGTAAACCATCTCAACTGGCCAACGCCCAAGGAATCGATTTTGAAAGGTGATTAATGTAGGATACAGATTAGTGTGGGGAGGCCCCCCCTAACAAATTTTGGATACAGAATAGTGTGGAAAAAACAAGGTACCGGGTACACAATACGGTGAAATCAAAAAAAATGATAGATTTAAATTGATTTCAATTTACTTTCAATTGATTTCAATTTATTTTGAATTGATTTGAAGTTACTTTGAATTGATTTCAATTTACTTTCAATTGATTTCAATTTATGTTGAATTGATTTGAAGTTACTTTGAATTGATTTCAATTTACTTTCAATAGATTTCAATTTATTTTGAATTGATTTGAAGTTACTTTGAATTGATTTCAATTTACTTTCAATTGATTTCAATTTGCTTTCAATTGATTTCAATTTACTTTCAATTTCACCCATATACTTTTCATCCAGAGACTCTTCATCCAGAAACTCTTCTTGTACATAGTTTTCACCTAGAGACTCTTCACCCAGAAACTCTTCTTGCACAGACTCTTCACCCAGAAACTTTTCACCCAGAAACGCTTCTTGCACATACTTGTTCACCCATATACTTTTCACCCAGACTCTTCACCCAGAAACTCTTCTTTCACATACTTTTCACCAATATACTTTTCACCCAGAGACTCTTCACCCAGAAGCTCTTCTTGCACATACTTTTCACCCATTTACTTTTCACCCAGAAACTCTTCACCCAGAAGCTCTTTTTGCACAATTTTTTCACCCAGAGACTCTTCACCCAGAATTGTTTCTTGCACGTGCTTTTCACCCATATACTTTTTACTCATGACTCTTCACCCAGAAACTTTTTTTGCACATACTTTTAACTCTTCTTGCACATACTTTTCACCCATATTCTTTTCACTTGCACATACTTTTCACCCATATGTTTTCCACCCAGAGACTCTTCACCCAGAAACTCTTCGTGCACATACTTTTCACGCATATGCTTTTCACCCAGAGACTCTTCACCCGGAAACTTTCTTGCACATACTTTTCACCAATATACTTTTCACCCAGACTCTTCACCCAGAAACTCTTCGTGCACATACTTTTCACCCAGAAACTCTTCACCCAGAGACTCTTCACCCAGAAACTTTCTTGCACATACTTTTCACCCAGAGACTCTTCACCCAGAAACTCTTCTTGCACATACTTTTCACCCAGATACTTTTCACCCAAACTCTTCACCCAGAAACGCTTCTTGCACATACTGTTCACCCATATACTTTTCACCCAGACTCTTCACCCAGAAACTCTTCTTTCACATAATTTTCACCAATATACTTTTCACCCAGAAACTCTTCTTGCACAGACTTTTCACCCATATACTTTTCACCCAGTTGATTTGAAGTTACTTTCAATTGATTTCAATTTATTTTGAATTGAGTTCAATTTACTTTCAATTGATTTCAATTTACTTTCAATTGATTTCAATTTATGTTGAATTGATTTGAATTTATTTTGAATTGATTTCAATTTACTTTCAATTGATTTCAATTTACTTTAAATTGATTTCAATTTACTTTGAATTGATTTCAATTTACTTGCAATTGCTTTCAATTTACTTTCAATTGATTTCAATTTACTTTCAATTGATTTCAATTTACTTTCAATTGATTTCAATTTACTTTCAATTGATTTCAATTTACTTTCAATTGATTTCAATTTACTTTCAATTGATTTCAATTTATTTTGAATTGATTTGGAGTTACTTTGAATTGATTTCAATTTACTTTCAATTGATTTCAATTTATTTTGAATTGATTTCAATTTACTTTCAATTGATTTGAAGTTACTGCCAATCTACTTTCAATCGACATCCCATAGAAATCCAATAGTAGTCCCAAAGAAATATCATAGAAATACCATGGAAATCCCATAGGAATCTCACAGAAATCCCATAGAAAGATCATTAGAAATAACATGGAATAGCATAGGAACCACAAAAGAAACCCCATGAGAATTCCAATAATAATCCCATAGAAATATCATAGAAACATCATGGAAATACCTTGGAAATCCCACAGGAATCCAATAGAAATTCCATAGGAATCCAATAGAAATACCATAGAAATCCATAGGAATCCAATGGAAATCCTATAAGAATACCATAGAACCCCCACAGCACCCCTTCAGAAATCCCATAGAAATCATCCAGAAATATCATAGAAACATCATGGAAACCCCATAGGAATTCCATAGAAATCCAATAGTAATACCATAGAAATACCATAAAAGAAAAAAGCTTTAGCAAAGGAAAAGGTAAAGGGAATGCTTGAAAAAAATCACACCAGGAAGCATCTGGACACAATAGTGTACCCTCCAAACAAACCACACTATTGTGTATCAGGGTTGCTCATGGACTACCCCCTTGAAAAATTGTTTGAGTGATGTTTTTTAATTGGGTTTTTAATAAGGCATCATATATTTTGGGAAATTGGGCATTTCTGAGAATTTCAAATGAAAGAAACTAAGAAAGTAACTAAGTAATTAAAAGAAAAAAAATAGCAAAGGAAAAGGTAAAGGACATGATTGAAAAAAAATCAAAAAATCATGACCTCAGGAAAGCAGCTGGACACAATAGTGTACCCTCCAAACAAACCACACTATTATGCATCAGGGTTGCTCATGGACTACCCCCTTGAAAAATTGTTTGAGTGATGTTTTTTAATTGGGTTTTAATAAGGCATCATATATTTTGGGAAACTGGGCATTTCTGAGAATATCAAATGAAAGAAACTAGGAAAGTAATTAATTAATTAAAAGGAAAAAACTTTAAAAAAGGAAAAGGTAAAGGAAATGATTGCCAAAAAAAAAATCACCTCAGGAAGCAGCAGGACACAATAGTGTACCCTCCAAACAAACCACACTATTGTGTATCAGGGTTGCTCATGGACTACCCCCTTGAAAAATTGTTTGAGTGATGTTTTTTTAATTGGGTTTTTAATAAGGCATCATATATTTTGGGAAACTGGGCATTTCTGAGAATTTCAAATGAAAGAAACTAAGAAAGTAATTATGTAATTTAAAGAAAAAAACTTTAGCAAAGGAAAAGGTAAAGGACATGATTGAAAAAAAATCAAAAAATCATGACCTCAGGAAAGCAGCTGGACACAATAGTGTACCCTCCAAACAAACCACACTATTATGTATCAGGGTTGCTCATGGACTACCCCCTTGAAAAATTGTTTGAGTGCTGTCTTTTTAATTGGGTTTTAATAAGGCATCATATATTTTGGAAAACTGGGCATTTCTGAGAATTTCAAATGAAAGAAACTAAGAAAGTAATTAATTAAAAGAAAAAAACTTTAGCAAAGGAAAAGGTAAAGGAAATGATTGAAAAAAATCAAAAAATCATGACCTCAGGAAAGCAGCAGGACACAATAGTGTACCCTCCAAACAAACCACACTATTGTGTACCTGGATGTAATTTTCTGTGGAAGGCATCTGGAAAATTTCAATGATGGAAAATAAAAAGTAAAAGAAAAGAACTTTAAAAAATGAAAAAAAATAAAAATGTTTGAACACACAGAAACAAGACCAAGACACAATTGTGTATCCTGACACAATGACACAATTGTGTATCCTGACACAATTTAAAAAAACTAATTAAAAAAATAATATCAAAATTATTATAATTGGAAATAAAAATAAAAAATAGTTAATTTCAAAATTATTATGATTAAAAATAAAAACAAATAATTTAAAATAATATAAAAAATAATTAAATTAAAAATTATTATAATTAAACATAAAAATAAAAAAATAATTTAAAATAATATAAAACATAATTAAACTAAAAAATATTTTAATTAAAAATAAAAATTAAAAAAATAATTAAAAACTAAAAAAAATGAAAAAAAACTTACACCAAAATCCTGTGGACACAAAACTGTACCCCTCGATCATTTCCAAAGATACAAAATAATTTTGAAGCCTGTGGACACAATTCTGTATCCCCACACTAATCTGTATCCCACATTATAGATTATCCAGATTTTCCGTATGGAGGTTTCCTGAAATAGGGGGGTACCCCTAAATCATCCATTTTAATGGTGTTTTCCATTATAAACCGTCCATTAGGGGGTACCCACAATTTATGGAAACCCTCACAAAGCACAATTGCACACGGTGCCAGCTGGCTGAGGCGCTTTCTGCAAGGGGTGCAAGAAGCGCGTAGGGAGGTGCTTGGGGGACACAGGCAGATGGTCCAGTTGGGTTAACGGTTAAGCCAACATTGGATTTGATCACAATGTGTTTGTTTTCTTGGATGGTGTGTGTTTTTCACGCCTCAAGATCGTTCTACAGAGCGACAAGTATAAGAACTGGGCTCATTGTTTATTTCAGATTGCGGAAGCAAGTGTCTCTCGAATTTTCAGCTGTGAGATGCTCGGTCCTTTGTGAGAACGAGGGCGAGGCAACTAGCATGCTACAATTACAATGTTTATTTCTGACAATGCCAAGTATCGAGTGGAAAGCAACATGTTGTTGAGACACAGTGTTTGGTTGCATTGAATTGTGTTATTTTTTCATACATATCATTGCATCAAAAAATAATGTTAACAATACAGTTTTATTATTACCTTTCATTGTTATTATTATTATTAGTAGTAGTAGTGGTGGTAGTGGTAGTGGTAGTGGTAGTAGTAGTAGTAGTAGTAGTAGTAATAGTAGTAGTAGTAGTAGTAGTAGTAGTAAGTAGTAAGTAGTAAGTAGTAAGTAGTAAGTAGTAAGTAGTAAGTAGTAAGTAGTAAGTAGTAGTAAGTATAAGTAGTAGTAGTAGTAGCAGTAGCAGTAGTAGTAGTGGTAGTGGTAGTGGTAGTGGTAGTGGTAGTGGTAGTGGTAGTGCTAGTAGTACTAGTAGTACTAGTAGTAGTAGTAGTAGTAGCAGTAGCACTAGTAGTAGTAGTAGTAGTAGTAGTAGTGGTAGTGGTAGTGGTGGTAGTGGTAGGAGTAGTAGTAGTAGTAGTAGTAGCAGTAGCAGTAGCAGTAGCAGTAGCAGTAGCAGTAGCAGTAGTAGTAGTAAGTAGCAGTAGAAAGTAGTATATAGTAGAAAGTAGTATATAGTAGAAAGTAGTAAGTAGTAAGTAGTAAGTAGTAAGTAGTAAGAAGTAGGTAGCAAGTAGTAGGTAGCAAGTAGTAAGTAGTAAGTAGTAGGTAGTAAGTAGTAGGTAGTAAGTAGTAGGTAGTAAGTAGTAGGTAGTAAGTAGTAAGTAGTAAGTAGTAAGTAGTAGGTAGTTGGTAGTTAGTAGTTAGTAGTTGGTAGTTAGTAGGTAGTAGTTAGTAGGTAGTAGTTAGTAGGTAGTAGTTAGTAGGTAGTAGTTAGTAGGTAGTAGTTAGTAGATAGTAGGTAGTAGGTAGTAGGTAGTAGTAGGTAGTAGTAGGTAGTTGTAGGTAGTAGTAGGTAGTAGTAGGTAGTAGTAGGTAGTAGTAGGTAGAAGGTAGTAGTAGGTAGTAGTAGGTAGTCGGTAGTCGGTAGTCGGTAGTCGGTAGTCGGTAGTGGGTAGTGGGTAGTGGGTAGTGGGTAGTGGGTAGTAGGTAGTAGGTAGGAGGTAGGAGGTAGGAGGTACGAATTATAGGTAGGAGGTAGGAGGTAGTAGGTAGTAGGTGGTAGGTGGTAGGTAGTAGGTAGTAGGTGGTAGTAGTAGTAGTAGTAGTAGTAGTTGTAGTTGTAGTAGTAGTAGTAGTAGTAGTCGTAGTAGTGGTAGTAGTGGTAGTAGTGGTAGTAGTGGTAGTAGTGGTAGTAGTGGTAGTAGTGGTAGTAGTGGTAGTACTAGTAGTAGTAGTAGTAGTAGTAGTAGTAGTAGGAGCAGGAGTAGTAGTAGTAGTAGTAGGAGTAGGAGTAGTAGTAGTAGTAGTAGTAGTAGTAGCAGTATTAGTAGCAGTAGTAGCAGTAGCATTAGCAGCTGCAGTGGCAGGAGTAGCAGCAGGAGTAGCAGCAGGAGTAGTAGCAGGAGTAGTAGTAGCAGCAGGAGTAGCAGCAGGAGTAGTAGCAGGAGTATAGTAGCAGGAGTAGTAGCAGGAGTAGTGGCAGGAGTAGCAGTAGTAGCAGGAGTAGTAGTAGTAGTAGTTGTTGTTGTTGTAGTTGTAGTAGTAGTAGTAGTAGTAGTATATTTTATTTGTTTTGAAAATATATGTTTATTTAATATGTATATATATATATATATTTCAAATATATATATATGTCATATGTTATATATTGCCAATCTCCTTCGGTTCTCAAATCACTCAAAAAAAACGCGTTGTTCACATTCCTCGCTGGGTGACTTGACCTCAATGCATCACGCCATCAGACAGACCCATATTTCTGGCTGGTTCGTACTACATGATCTACATGTAAAGTGCTGGGATAAATCTGTGCTGCTTAGTCACAGATTCATTTTTTAGGCAACTTTTGTGTTAAGCATACTTTGCTCACTCTGGTACCAAACATGACCACTTTCCCCACAAAATGCCCACCCGGACATTTCGACCGTGCCATGTTTGACAAATCACCAGGAATTTGATCAATCCATAGACGCTCTGAAGTTGAGAGTTGGCGACATGAAGCTGCCTGGCGTACTGGGTTGGATGAATCTATGGTTCATCTTTAACCACACCGGGCAAACCGACATGGATGTGGAAAAAATGCAAGTAAATGAGCTGTACACATATATTTACACAAGATTAATCTCAATGCTGCACATACTGTGAGTTTGTTGCAGGGAAGCAAGGAAACAACCAGAGAAAGGGTTGCTATAGTTGCGGGAGATTATCATGAATCAACAGGACCTCTTGATTTTTTTGGGATGATTTTGGACCATTTTGAATGCACCAAAATGGATGCTCAATGTTGTGGATCAATGTCGGGTTCCTTGGACAAATCGTTTTTGGGACCGTTTTAGATCACATGTTTTGTTTTAGTGCTGGTTGATTGGCGATATCTATGTCTCAATACTATGTTGGAACATGTTGGTATTAAAACGTTAACGTATTCCAGTGTTCTACAAGTGTGTGTGAGCTGATTTTTTCTCCGTGCTCACAACATCCCTGCCAGCGGTTGATGCTTTAATTTCCGTTTAGTGCTCAACATATGTTCATCATACCATCATCTGGTTGGTGGTTTGGAACATTTTTCCATATATTGGGAATGTCATCATCCCAACTGACTTTCATATTTTTCAGAGGGGTGGCTCAACCACCAACCAGTAGTTATTATGGCAGCTATACGCCTCTCAGGAAGACCTTTGGGTCCCGGACCCGCGAAGCGCGTGAAGGGCGCGAGCCACGCGGATTGGTCATGCGAGGTGCCATGGCCGGGCATGATGGTTATGAGTCAGATACCCTTAAATAATCTTAAATAGCTGGTTACTAGATGTTTATTCCCCCAAATATTGTAATTATAGGTTTTGACCCATCCCCATATCGGTAATTATTATATATATATAGATTTACATATATATATATATATATTTAGATTTACATATATATATATATATTTAGATTTACATATATATATACATATATATATTTAGATTTACATATATATATATACATATATATATATAGAATATAGATGGTGTAAAACTCAGGACAGACTCTGCGTATCTCTGCGGTCCCCTGGGCTTGTAATTTTGACCACAGACAGGTCATGACAGGTCGAATGTGAAATTTATTGACAAACCCCATGAGACAGGCCTAAAATTGAACAAATTCACTGAGGGGTTGCTTGATTAGTCTCCGCAAATCACTAGATCCTTCATCTATACAAAGATGCAACCATGTACGCTGTGCACATCAGGTGATTATCGCAAGAACTCTTTGCACAGAATCTGACCTCTGAAAGAATGACTATTCAGATTGGGCACTCCAATCCAAGGATGGTTATAGAATCCTAACTGGTTGGTGGTTTGGAGCATGTTTTATTTGTCCATATATATTGGGGATAGTAATCCCGACTGACTTTCATATTTTTCAGAGGGGTGGCTCAACCACGAACCAGCTAAAAATGGACCGAATCTATCGTCCTCTGCGTTTAAGATTTTGTCCTGGCTATATCCATTTGTGAAAAATCAGGAAACTTCTTCAAAAGCACCAAAAGTTCTTGAAATTTGAACTTCGAACTTGGTATAACTGCAGTTAACGTACAACAAGTATATAGAAGTAAAACAAATATGACGGTAGAATAATCATATATTTTTATATACACACACCCATGAAAGTACATACATATATATATAGATATATTATATTATATTATATTACATTATATTAAATTATATTAAATTCTCTATATTATATTACATTATTTTATATTATATTACATTATATTATATTATATTACATTATATTATATTATATTCTATTCTCTGTATTATCTATATTATATTAGTTTTTTTCTATATACTATATTTTATTAAATGATATTTTATTATTTTATTTTATATTTAATTATATATATTTTTTCATTATATTTTATTATTCTATTTTATTTATATATATATCTCTCTCTCTCTCTCTCATTGCTGGCAATCTTCATGACCATCACCCCTTACTCCCAAAGCTGCCAAGCTCTCAGGTCCTTTGCCCACGGGTCACGGCCGAAAGCGCCACATCCAAGTGTCGATCCGGTCGAGCCAGGCGCGTGACACGACTTGGCGACGACTTCATGGTGAAATTCCCAGGTTTTTTCACGGTGAAGAACTAGTAATGTATGGCATTTTTTTGGGTAATTGATTTATATAATTATTACCATATCATCTGTTAGTTAATAGTAAATCACCTTTTAGAACTAATGTTAATTGTTAATGGTGATTAAATCATTCATATTAATGTTCAGTTCACCTTTTACAATGGAAAATCACTAGTTCATTGTGAACATCCAATTTCAAAAAAAAAGCCGTTGAAGCATGATGAGCAATTAGAAAGTTGATGCGGGGGAAAAGGATCTCCTGTGTACGTCGTTTTTCCCCAAACAGTGTGGCCACACTGACGGGGTTCTTACGGTAGGTGTTAAGGCCCGGTGTTTGATCGAGGTGGTCTCCGGGGCGTCCGGCATTGTCCCTGTAAATTTCCACAAAAAATGGCTCTTGTGAAATGTCCATGTGCATTTCGACTGCGCAAGCTCGCCCAAAACGATGTCCCCGGAGGTGTCCGCGACAAAATGGCTCTTGTGAAATGCCCGTGTGCATTTCGACTGCGCGGGCTCGCACAAAGTGCGCTTCCCGGTCTTGGGATCGGGCTTCCTTCTCAACATCATCCTCCTCAACATCATCATCTTCCTCCTCCTCAACATCAACATCAACATCAACATCATCATCAACATCAACACCATCATCATAATCATCATCATCATCATCATCATCACCATCATCCTCTTCATCGTCCCCATCATCATCATCATCATCAACATCATCATCATCACCACCATCACCACCATCATCATCATCATCATCGCCCCCCATCATCATCATCATCATCATCATCACCATCATCATCATCATCATCGTCATCACCATCATCATCACCATCATCATCATCATCGTTATCATCATTATCCTCCTCATCGTCCCCATCATCATTATCATCCTCATCACCATCATCATCATCAGCAGCAGCAACACCAACATCACCATTAAAATCCACATCATCATCATCATCATCATCATCATCATCATCATCATCATCATCATCAACATTAGTTAACATCGTCAACCACATTATAACACCTTATCCTTTTACTCCACCCGCGCTGTTTGGGGCCTCTTGCCGGGATATGTTTTTGAATAGGGCAAATGAAGATGAACAAATGTGGAGACTTGGGTTTATGAAATGCAGATATGGCATGGACATGGTGGCATAATACCTCAATAATTACAAGTATAATCAGCATAAATGGTACAGTAATGGTACTTTGAAATACCATAGCATTACTAGTTCATTAAAAACTATATATATATATATATACAACGGTTTCATCTTCCAAGTCGCACGGTGGTGATCACCTCCACACCTCACAGGTCTCCACGTCCCATGGCCTGCCGATGCGGGTGGCGGACCTCTCAGTGCCTTGGGAGACCGGGAGATGACTGGGAGAACTGGAACCAATGGGATGTTGTATGATGTTATAACTATTTAAGAGCCATGTTATAAGCAATAAATGGATATAGATGGTGATGGATTTTGATGGGATAAACATTTGAGTCTTTATTTTTGGTGACATACCGACAGTTATCATCTCTTTGGTGATGTTATAACCAACTCTAGCTGTTTGAGTTTTTCTGAGTAATTATCACAATATGCTGTGGGTTGCAAAATCCTGCACCAGTTGGTGGTGTGTCCCCAGGAGCTGGTGATTTCTGACAGAACATGTGTCATTGTAAAAGGATCGAATTTCGCATCATTTCTTGGGTTTTGAGTTGTGAAAGCACACGTTTTCACCATCAAAAATGTATGGAGATATGATTGATACGGTTTAGACGTGATTATACAATGGATAATACGAATACCTTGGGTCGTGGTAGAAATACCAGGTAGATTTGGGGATTATTGTTAATTATCCAGGATTAACAGTTTAATATGTTCGAGCATCATTTTTGGATTTCCACGAACAACAGATGGGGGTATCATTGATGAATGGTTGGTGGATGATTTGTTTGGGGGGTACACATGATGTATATATATATATATATACATGTATGTACACATGTACATATATATATATATATATACAGATCCGTTATGGAAATCCCTATTAACAAGATTACAGACATGTTTTTGCTCACATGGGGGATGGCCCAATGCTGCCATCAAATAAAAGCAACCGAAATCATGGGACGGGGGTCATTTGCATCTTGACCTACGATTGGAGCATCATTGCAATTGGTTTCATGAATTTGAAACATCGCTTGCTTTAGAAATGAGGGCTCAAACATGGCAAAATCACATGCTATATCTATATACGGCTTGAAGAATCATTCGGCCAAACATCAGGTTTTTTCAACCCGTACCTTGCTGGGCCCAAGCTGGAAGATGTTACCCTGACTCCGTTGGTGGCAGGAAGAACTGGCAGAAGCTCGAGCAAAGTGCTTGGAAGAGGTGTACTTTTATGGGAACATCGTGACCATGCTTGGTTTCAGAAAGTGATCTTAAATTATAGTTGGGATGTGTTGAAACATGTTGGTCAGTTTTTGGTGGTTGATTTTGTTGAGCCCCAAATGTTATTGGGATGGTTGGGATGGTTCGTAACCACCAATCGGGTTATTATGGTTGGAGAGGAAAACCCATCGATGATTTTCCCAGCTAACCTCCATGTCATGGAGGATATTCCGACGTTTTATTACCAGATGGTATCAATTGGACATGGCCTAAGTTTCTGGGTTGATGAAGTCCCTTAGACCCTCTGCTTGTACCTTGTACCTATACAAATGAGTAGAAGTCCCAAGTGATAATCGGTGGCCCACTGTTCTGGGTACTTGGAGGGCCTAGGCCCATAGATTTTCCAATAAGGATTGTAGGTTGTCTCCCCGTTTGGGCTGGAAAGTTTCAACAAAAACTTGATTCACATGTTCAATACCTTGTATCTATCAATAATCCCTTCCCCCTATTACTAAACCCCCACCCAAATAATAAAAATTAGGTCCTTCTCCAGTTTTGGAAAATTTGAGGTTGGCCAATTTGATTTTTAATTGATCCCCTTTAGAAAACAATATCAAAATGAAGCTACCATTTCAGGGTTTCACCCCCTAATAATAAAGCCTAGTCAACCCCGGGGAGGTTTTATTAGGGTCCATCTTTTAAGGTCGAAAAAGAAACCACATTTTATAATAATTAAGGTTTTTCATTTAATATTAGGGCAAAGCTTCGAAATCCAATTTTTGGCAATATTTCAATTAGATTTTAAAAGGAAATGTAATCGATTTTGAAATAGAAGAAAATAGTTATTTATATTAGGGTTTTAAATTTAGTATTAGGGGGAAACGTCGAAATCCAATTTTTGGCAATATTTTAATTAGATTTTACAAGGAAATCTAATCGATTCTGAAATAGAAAAAACTACTTTTCTATATTACGATTTTAAATTGAGTATTAGGGGGAAGCTTCGAAATCCATTTTTTGGCAATATGTTAAGTATATTTTACAAGGAAATCTAATCGGATTTGAAATAGAAAAAATAGTTTTTTTTTTAATATTAGGGGTTTTAAATTTAGTATTAGGGGGAAGCTTTGCACCCTATAATAATAAATACCCCCTAACATTAAAAACTACCTGAGGTGTTTATTATTTGGGGGGGTAGTATTAGGGGGAAGGGATTTCTGTGGGTTAGCAAAAACAACTTGAACACATTCTGGGTATGTGTTGCTTCGAAATCGTTAGGCGGAAGCCTTGAAGAAGACTCAGGTGGGGCCGACGGCATGGAGATTCATTGGTTATGAAATAGTGGCTGATATGATATTGTGTGATTCTACCTGATCTGTTTTTTAAACGAACAATATTAAATCATATGAAAAAATCATATATATATATATATATACTAAACCATATTAAGCAGTAAAACAGTATTTCATGGATGGGATACCGTAGATGGCCGTAGATTCCCGAATTTGGGCGTGGGTGTCCGCACCCGGAAGCGACAGAGCGCAGTGACTATCTGCCTGTGATTATTTGGCTGGGTTTAAGAGAACATCTTCACCGGAAACGGCGCTGTTATTTAAATTTCCATGATGTTGCATGACGTTGCATGTATCTTCCCAAAAAAATGATCCGGACGTTCCGGTTTGAATTTTCCCATCAGGGAGTTTCGTGTTGTAGTGGGCCCTGACTCTGATCACAGACCGAATCTGGAAAAAAATGCAGGATGCTGCTTAGCAGAGGTGTGTAGCGGCCAGAAAGGGATTATCGGCATCGTCCACGGTCAGTGATGTGCAAGTGTAAGTAGAGAATGTCATAGAATGTCCTAGGTTGTACTGGATTTCACGGGACTGCAATTCTTTCAGCCAATACTGATCCAATACTGATGGCTAATGGTGCAGACTTTCTTCAGCAATCATGTCCCTTTTTTTTTCTCGAAATCTCTACTTTCGTGCCAACCAAGATGACAATTCCGCAAGAAAATCTGCATACCACCCAAGTTGCACTGCCAGAATACTCTCGAAAAAAACAATGAGCTATACCTTTGTCAAGTCTTTCCTGACAGTTAACCGCCCATTTAAGTTGATCTTTATAAACTTTAAACCTCAATTTTTGAACAGTTAACCCATCTTAGCCTTTTATGTGTGAAGCCATGTTCGATAGTTAAACAACCATGTTTGATAATGTCAAATCACCTGACTGCATGGAGGTTGCTAGCGGAAAATCATCCAACTGAATGGTGGATTTTCCAGCTTTCCACGTTTGAATGCCGGAGGGGAACCATTTTGCTCATGTTTTTTTCCGGAAATGGCTGTCGATTTTCGACACTTAACTTATGTGAACTCCATAGTGAAATTTGAAAAATACCACATAATGTTTGATAATTAATGGTCATAAACCCATATTAACCATTGTTGACCCATATTAACCCATGTTAACCCATAGCTACATCCATCATTTTTTCATCGTGAACATCCCCCACGACTGCGACGCCCCAAGGCCAAAGAGGCCGCGGCCGCGGCGGAGTTGAGCCGCTTTCGCGTGCGCGTGGATGAGCGGCAGAGGTTGGGACGGGGGGTGATGGAAGATATGGGGATGGGTCAAAACCTATTATTACATATTACCATCTGGTTATTTAACATACTGAACTCGAAAGATCCACCATTTTGAATAGGTAAACCATCTGTTTCTATGGGCCATGGCTTACCATGGCTATGTTAAATCGCCAGAGGGTATTACCAAATTTGGGGGAATAAACATCAATTAACCATTAACCATCTTTTTGAGGGTCCTAGGGAGGTTTTGACCCATAACCACATGGATATCACATGGAGGTTTCCTGAAATGGGGGATCCCCAATGGCTGGATGGTTGATTTCATGAAAAATCATTTTAAAATGATTGATTTAGGGGTACCCCTGCTTTAGGAAACCTCCATATATTGTCTTAATGCCTAATAATGGTTAATGATGACGATTAATGTGCTAGTGAGTAAAGCAATAAAAAAACAACCATTCTTAATGTATTTTGATGGTTTATACCACCCATAAAAATTGGCAAATTGAGGATGGTTTACTATTGCTTTACCCACATGATAGATATATAGCACCACCCAAAAAGATACCGAAAAGTTGTAAACCTGTAATTATACAAACAATGGGGGAGACGTATATAATTGAACTACTGAACTACCATCCCGGAAACGTTTGTTTCTATCTCTTGGGTGGTTTC